CCTGGTACATCAGCTTTTGACTTCATCAAACCGAATATCATATATATCTGCGCCTACTGCTTCACTTCCTTGCTTTCTCCTCACTCACTCTCCCTCTCTCTCCCACCAAGATGTTATGCTCATATTTCCGTTTCCTAATTTCTAATTTAATTAGACGCATGCCGCACAACGCAGTTTGTAAAGCCCAACGCAATCAGCCGCTGTGTGTGCGGCACATACACAAAATGTGTCCCTGTTGATCCACATGCAAACACACAAACAACAAACACATGCACACATTCAGCCGAGCACGTACACCCACACACTCGTTTCTGGTATTTACATATGAGCAACATTTTCATTACGTGCATCCCATCCCAAACGAGAAGCTGTTGTAGCTGCCACTGCCTGTGCCCCCGTTTCATACGGCAACATTTTCTACAGCGACAATTTTTCATATTTTACACTTACGGCAACCCATTTGGTTTCAATTTTTTCTGAAATGTTTTTTTGTAGTTGTTCTTAATTGTTGCACGCGTTGCAGCAACTGGCTGCCCGTCTCTGCATGAGTGTGTGCGTGTTTTGTGTTGTAATATTGATTGGGTGATCTAGGCGTTGATCAAGTTACTGGTTTATAATTATTTTTGTGTAATTAAAAGTTGGCCTTGGCAACTGCTGCCGCCTGCTGAATGGTGCCCAATCAGTGCGAACTTTTATACCTCCACATTGCCGCCGGTTTCAGGGCAAATATTAAAGTGGCCCTGCAACTATTCCCCAAGTGCGGCACTTTCGCAGCTTTGCCAAAAAGTTCAATTTTCATTAACAGCACACACTCGCAGACACACTCGCAGACACACTCGCAGACACACTCGCAGGCACACTCGCAGACACACACGCTGGCTGCACAGATGCGGGTTTTTTGCTGGAAAATGCAGTCAGCTATTCCTATGGCTCACACTTGATAAATGTCAGCCCGACGGACCGAGCGACCCTTTGACACCATAAAAGCCCATTAAACACAATTGAAATTGAAAAGTCATGCTGTCTTTACTATTTACTCCCCTCGACGCTTTGCTGGTATTTGCATATCGCCCACACAGTTTACATAATGTTTTACATAAATTTGACTTTTAATACTCAAGTTTGCCCAACCATTCGTCCATTTGCGTGCTCGTCCCTATGTCCAGCTGTCTGTCAGTCCGTTTTTCTGCCAACAGCCATTAGGCCAAAGCTTTTATCAGCTGCGTTCCCCAAAAACTGTGATAGCTAACTTTTAACTTCGATTACTTGAAAATCTGACAAAATATTTTATCTATGTCATGTGAGCTAAACAAAAATACGACAACGAAATGCTTCTTCAGCACCAATTAAATGCATACGACACAAAGAGAGTTTATTGGCATAGCTTAGTTAAAGGTGCCAAAATGTGAAATGTGATGTACTATACCTATTATTATCTTACATAAAGTCCACATACATCCACGGCTTGGATGTATGCTAAATTGTACATATATTGCATATCAACTATTATTAAAATTTAATCTATGCACCAATTAAAACCTGTCTTCAGTATATATAAACTCAAACACTAATTATACTATCGATGTTTTAGTTTTACTATATATACATATATATATATATATATATATATATATATGTCCAGGTGTATGTGAATGCTAAACTTATATTGTGTTATTGCTTATCATACATAATTTTTGCATCTTTTGATGTATTTATACATTAATTTTCCAACCTTTCATCCTTGTGGTTATTTTTGTGGGGGTAGGGAAGTGCGTCTTGGGCACGCCTTAAAGCTAATTCACACTTCAGCTTATAACACGATTTAAGTGTTGTGGGGCGCACGCAGACACATCATAAATTCGGTTGGAGCTATGCGCCCACTATTTAGAACTTACGAATACACACACATCAGTCGCACTCACACACACACGCACACACACACACACACGCGCGCACACACACGCGCGCACACACACACACACACACACACACACAGAAATCGGTATACACATACTCAGGATACGAGTTTTTATAATGGCTTGACCATTATCCTGCATATAAAGTTGTTCATTTCCTATGTTTTTTCAGCTTTGATTTTCCCTGCGACTCGGTTGTCATTTTGTATGCTGTGTAAGTTTTCCCGCTTTGCCAGGGTCTTAACTTTTGGCCCCGCATCGATTGTTGTTATTGCTATTGTGTTGCATACATAATAAATTTTATGAAACGTAAATTTTTATAGAGCCCAATTTTTGGCACAGCAATAAAACGACAGCGCACAAACTTTCCCATTGCCCTTCCTGATGTATACGCGTTTACAATAAAAATCGAATTTTTTATTTATCTGCTCTATGATTTGTAAAAATTTCTTCTTATGGACCCATGTCGTTGTTAAGTGGAACTGGTTTCGGGTTTGATATGTAATTTCCTTTTAACAGCATTTATACAATCAATAATTAAATTCTTAGAAAAATTCTTTTTCAAATAACGACAATTATATTGTTAATTGTTTATATTATTACTGTTCTTTCTTCAGTTGTAACATATTAATTTGTTTTCTAGCTTAGAGAGTAGCATGTCAACAAAACAATTTTATATCATTCTGTTTTTCTTCGCAGTTTCATTAAACGATATTTAATTTTTTATATCTAGCCTTAAGAGACGTTTTTGTCAATAAAACAGACAATTTCACATTCTCAAAAAATTACTATAAGTAAACTATGAATTTCAATTGACGAATTCCGTTCTTTACAATGTCCTGCGATCGAAATCATTTTCAATTATTTTCATAAAAATGTTGTCGGAATGCAAGAAATGGTCATTACATATTAAATCAATTAAAACAATGCATCAGAAATGCTTCGACAAAACATAAATGTGATATACGCACAAATTGATTAAGATACACACAATGACGAATAGAAACAATGCAAACAACTTTTTTGTTAAATAAAGCACAAATATTTTTTAAATAAAACGAAACTGAGCCAAGACCGTGCGACCCACTGACACAAAGCACCATGCCAGCTGTTGATTTCAGCTTATTTTTTTTTATATACGAATTCACATTTATCGGCGAATCGTATCGCTTATTTAACTGTTTGCTATTGTTGCACAACAACAACTGTGCACAAAGGGGCCAAGGGTTGGAGGTTGGGTAGGTGACAGGAAATGCGAAAATGTTTTCAAATCGTTCAATCACAAAAATGTTGAGCGAATCGCTTGGAAAAGCATGCCAATTCCATTCAAAGTAGGTGTGGTACTCGGCCTGGCACATACATGCCGCATTACGTATACGTATAAGTATTACGTATACGAAATACGCAACGCGAGCTTGCCCAAGTTGGCAACAATTGATTTTTTAGATTGAATTGTAAAATGCTTAAAATTGAAATGAAATTAAATTTATATTTGGTTGGCCTTCACATTCATTTTCAATACCTCATAATTGTATTACTTGTTTGCATACAAAGCCTGAGAGTTAACCGCAGAGTCTGCATGCTGAGCACCTGTCGGCACGATAGAGTTGATGAATTTAATTTAAAGGACAGAATTATAGCACGCGGATATTCATGGAACATACGCCCTTTTGTCGCGTTGTTGTTGTCATTGCCTGGCATTAAATATGCATGGCCTTTAATAAAAATAATCAATTTGTACGTGAGCAGGAGCAGCAGAAATACCTTCAGGTATGTTCGCTGGGTAATTAATTTCGAATTATGCCATGTACTTTAATGGACCAACAATGGGGTCAACTAACTAATTACGGTGGCATCTCTGGCATAGTGGGGGATGATGCGCATTCCACTTGGCCAGCAGCCGACTTGACCTGGTTCAACTCAAGCCTTCTAATGCACCTCAAGCATGAAAATGCCTTGCACTGAATCGACTCGTCGTCAAAGAAGAGTGAGAAGGGCACGACAACGTCATAATCGAAAGCAACTTATGAGGGCTCACGGCTCATTAACACGCTTCCCACACACCAGCCAATCCAGACAACTTGATTGAACTTCAATGGCCTACGCCAGCCACGATATGGTGATGGCGGAAGGGACGTAAAGACATGGGGAACCATGTTAAGATTAATGCTAATGTGACAACTTAATCGAAAGCCATTCATAAGTCATGTCAAGTTACCAGCTTCCTGCCCGACTATCATCTTTATAACGACAGTCGATGTCAATAATGGCAGCGCCTAAACGTAGGCAACGGCAATGGCAACCAGCAACGGCAACTAGCTCTGGCCAACAGCTGGGAGCATGACAACGGCAAATCCATAAAAAAACACGTTAAATATTTGCATTAATTTTGGGCTAAGATAAGTCACACAAGAAAAAAACAAGCTTGTACATTGAAGTTAGAAGAGACTGACTGACAGGATACTCTGTTTTTAATGTAGTCCGAGTTCAAAGTACATGGATAACAGTCAATTTAAGTGGTTGTTGTGGATTGATATTGGCCAAGTCGAATATATTTTGATGTTTTTCAATAGTATCGTTTGTACCAATTATAAAACTGATTGCTGACCACATGACGGACTTACTCAATGGGTGGAAAATTAGTGAAAAAGAAAACGATTCATTTAAAGAAAGTGAAAATTCACTATATAAATTTCAGGTGATTTCGAGAAATACGCCAAAAGATTATGTGGGCTGAAGATAAATATAAATTCAGTTACACTCTACGGAACGTCGAAAAGAAAATGGATAGACTTTTATGTTGAGGAATTTGTGCGGACAGCGTTGCTTAATCGCATGGGAGACTGAAGCTCTACTTTCTTGGTATAAAATAATTTATTTCATCAATAAAAGTTTGAATATAAAGGTAGTCGAGTATGATAAAATAAATAATATTGAATAATAGAAGTACTACGAACATGCAGAATTAGACGTGGCACAAGCCCAATTGACTCAGTTGCTTCCCTTTTCAAAACAGGGTATTCAAATGGGAAGAGAACAAGGAAAACAGGGACAGGGCGCACATTTCATTCGCCTGGCACTTACCCGGCAAGCTTGATGTGATGCTGATAAGAAGCAATAGTTGCGCTATCAGCTCTTTGATGCTACCGCTGCCGCCGCTGCTCTTCCTCCCTTCCTTGGTGCTGCTCCTCTGCCGGTTGCTCATTTTGTTTGTCGTTTATCGAGCGTCTCGTTGGGTGCTTCTTCTTGCCTCTTATCGCGCGATGCGTTACTTTGTCAATGACACAATGCGAAGCGCTCTCTGGCACTGGCTGCCCCTCTGGCTCGCTGTCTCTGACTGTTGAATTCCGTGCGGCACTTGACTTTTATTGCACGGCACACAGTTTACCGTTACACTATATTTGGCTTGTTACAGCTCAGAGTGGCGCCACCGAATTTGATCGCCGAATATTCTTTTATATATTTTTTTGTTGTCTGGGTGCTGCTAATTTGGTTGTCGTACATTTGTTATTTGTTGCTAACAATAGTGCAACACGGTGTCTGCCTGTTCTTGTCGTTTAATAGTAATATAAAATAAATAACGCGCACGCATGCCCCAACGTTCATCACAAAATTAAAATGAGCAGAGCAATTAACAATTTCAACAGTTTTCCCAAAGTTTTTTTTTTCGTTATTTTTTGTTTATTTTAATTGAATTTGTTGTATTTCAATTGACAGTTTTCGCACGGTGCTGCAAGCTATAAATTCAAATATGGACTTACGTTAAGATTTGCATGAAATGAATATTCAGGAGCTGCCTGTGTGTACTAGCAATTGTTATTAATATTTCATTTATATTATTTTTTTGTGATTCTCAATCGTTTGTTCTGCTTTTGGGGCATGCTACAATTTCACTTTGTGTATTGATTTGTTTTTTTGCTTTTTGTTTGCTTGCTTTTAATCAGAAATTTACACAGTCACCGCATCGCGCGTCGGTGGCAAACAAATTGGCGGCGCGGCTTTTGTTGTTGTTGTTGCAAGTGATTGTTGTATTTGTGTTGGCAACTGCAGCGCAGCCAAATGAAAGCACAATGAAAATTTTCAATCAAAACTTTTTACTCGCTTTCTGCAGTTGCTATTTTTGTAAGCGTTATTCTACTCTCTTTTTTTAGCGCTCGTTAGCTGCGACGATTCTTTTGCCTTTTTCCACTTTTCTTCAATTTTTTTCAATTTTTAATGCAATTTCCACGCTTAACTGCACTTTTTGCCGTTTCGTCGGGCTATTTCTTTTGCTGTTGCCCCTGTCCCGTTTTATAGAGCATTTATTTACACGGACACGCTCACGCTCACACCCACAGCAAACATTCACACATACAAGGACACGCACACACGCGCAGCAACGCATAGATATAAGCAAAATATGCATACAATTTGCATTGCGTTGTATTTCCCTCTATTTTCCTCTCTCTCTCTCTCTCTCTCTCACTTTCTCTCACACACACAAACTCTCTAACTCTCTGCCTTTTCTTTGTCTCTTTGTTCTGTTTCGTTTCCTGTTGCTCGCCCAAATTCAAATTACTTTTGTCGTTATTACTTGTATTGTTTTTGTTTTTATTGTTGCTACTTCTTGTAGTTGTTGTTGTTGCATGTCATGCTCATTTCTTTAAATCACTTGGCAGTTCTGGCTGCTGGCGGTGACGTCATCAAGTTGTCGTCGTTGTGCATTGGACATGGCTCAGCGTGTGGCTGCCACAAGATGTTGCACATGCATAGCTTCGATTTGCAGCTCCACTTTCGGAATGCGGCTTCGCCTTGCGCATTTTAACTTTATTCCAAATGCAAACTGCCTGCAAAACAAGATAAAACAAAATCAACATCTTAATAAAGAATTGTTATTAAGTTCTGAACGTACTAGGATCAGAACCTATTTATTGTAAATAGGCTAGTTGCCTTGGACAGGATTAAGTTCTAAATGCACTATAATCAGAACGTATTTATTGTAAATAGGTTAGCTGCCTTACACAAAACTTAGGATTCATATGAATGCACTCATTTAATGGGGCACAATGTTCGAGAGTTTGCTGTTATCATATAGAAAGACTTTGTGGTAGCCAGACTAGTTAACAAAGTCAGTCGGCTTTTTCCACAGACTATGTAATTATTGGAATAATTTGCGTAGGTTTTTAAAGATTGATTGCACGGTATACGATTCGCTTTGAAGCAGCGCTCACATAATCATAATTTATAAGCCAGCTTTACTTTATTTTTTTTTAAGGCGCTTTAATTTTGAACTTTTCTGTTGACGCACACAAACGTTTTTTTATGTGCATGCATGAGTTTTCTGTAGGCCGCAAAGTCTTCGGCCAGAAAATGCATCAGAAAGTTGCCTCCGTCTACGCACTAAAGAAGGTCGTAGCGATTGACTGATGGCTGTCTACGCGTTTCAACTTGCGATTGCAGCAGTTGCTGTGTGGCTGTTGCAGTGGCTGGCAGCGGCAGCTAGGCGTTTGCTCCAGCTAAAGTGCAGAACAGAGACGACTATTATGCTTTATTTTCCGCTTGACACCTTTGGGCTGCGTTGCGCATTTCCTTTTCGCAGCCCCCAGCAGCATCAACCTTTTCTAGCTTATGCAAGACTTTTTCCCGACTGGCTTCTTGTGTGCGCTCGCACAAAGCATTCTTTTTTTAAATATTGTTTTTTGTTGGCACACACGTTCACTTTTTTTGCTTTTTTTAGCTAGCTGTATGGCAAGGTAGTACACGGGGCATCTGCATGCATGGCGGCACCTCTGAGTGCTGTGGCACCTTCTTATCAACATGGCAGTACTGAGTTCCACGTGCGGCAGAAAGAAGTTCTGATGTCGCCCTCGTCTGAATTGAAATTTATTATTCTGCTTTGTCGTGCGTGTGTGCCAGGCACTTTTGAGCCACCACCAGTACCAGACACCACCCGTGTTGCAGCAATCCTTTTGTGAGTGGGTATTTAATATTTTAATGTTGCGCCTACCCGCTGCCACCTTTGGCAGCAGCTAGCTGCCTGCTTATTCTAAAGCGGGTTAATTGCTTTCCAGCTGGGTGAATGGCATGGTCGACCTTTGATGTGCGCCATTTTTTGCCTTTGCACTTAAGGATATTGTTTACATGTCTCAATTATCCTTTGAATTTGACGTGCTCGCACGCCATTTTGCTGTCGCTAGCAATGCTAGCCAAAGTTAGAGCTTCTGTTCTTCTACTTTTGAAGTAAACTTTTGACGACTTTGAAGTCCGATACCACAGTGCAGCATTGATATGCTATATCATGAAGTTAGATTGTAAAAGAGCGGGGGCGACACTTTTCGATGTTCTCGAATTTCCACAAAAACAAAAATTCGAATAAATTTCCGGGAGTTCAGTGATAAGCTTGCGAATAACAATGAGAAATAGCCTGGCTAATACAGCTAAACAGCCTAATTCCTACTATGATATCCAGAAATATTTGTATTTATTTGTTATGCATAAGACATATTTATTTATTCTATTAAAATTGAAATTAAATACGGGTAATAAGTTGGTTTCATTTTGGATCTTCTCGAAGCTTAACATGCTTTAACTTAAAAATATCTGTTCGTTGTTTCAGTGGTCCCCAGGCAACGATAACTATAATTGGTTTAACCATATCAATTTTCAGTGCTAACCAACAACAAATTATTTTGACCCAAATAAATTGGTGAATATATTTTGCCAAGTATTGGATTAACTACATAGAAAATAATTCATTTTAGAAATTATAGAAATTTGTTGGAATATGTTTTACAAATATAAATATAAATATATTATAATTGTGGCTTGCTGAACCTTGCAAGGTAGCATTAAGAGGAGAGAAATCAATAACTCGTAAAATTTCTTAATACAATTTGCTCTGAAAAAAACTAGATAAACTATAAAAAAAAAACATTAGAAAGCAGCTCTTGCTACAGAAATCGAAATGTTTTTTTCTTTTTTTATAAATTGTATTTCTCATCATTGCGATCATTTTTTACTTACGCTTAAAGTAATCTTCAGAAAGCTGACTTATTGTCTCATATCACTTTTAAATAGTTTTAAATATTTCAATATTTTAAAGATTCCAGAATGTAGTAAGTAAGTGATACGGGGATAATAGTAAAAAAAAAGTTTCTTTCTATACTGTTGTTGTATAGTTGATTTATTTGATATGCTATGATATGATTTAGCGCCGGTTCTTTTTTTATATATTTCTTGTTGGGTCTTCGAAATATTATTTTCTTTTTGTTATTTAACGGGCTTGTGGCTTTGGGTTTTTGCGTGCCGGCAAGGTCCTTGGCGTTTATGTTGATGTAGAGATCGCCTTGAACATGGCTTTTCCACTTGGTATGCAGGGGCTGTTTGGCAACTACTGATTATATGCATAAGTCCGCCATTTTCATACTCGATTATGTTAGCCTAATGCGTGTGCTAATTCAGGGGCTACCCGGTCGCACCACTAGCCCCTTCCCTAGCCAGCACTAATTTCAGATAGTCATCGCTGAGCTAGAGGCAATTTGTTAGCTAACTCCGCTTAAGAAGCCGGCGTCGTCCTTTACGGGTTTTACTCCTGCTAGATGAGACACAAAAAAAGTTGTTGCCAGTTTTTTTCTGCTGACATTTGCCGTTTTGCCGCTTAGCGCTTATTGAGCGAAGGCGGGGGTGGTGGCGTGTGTGTGGGTGTGCACCTTCTGGTAGCAAGAAATTATGCAAAGATTGTGTGCACAACTTGAGACAAACCCTCGACTAGAGCCAACAGCCGCCAAGAAGGGCAACCAAGTTTCTCCGGACCAGAGCTGAGGTCAGTTCAGGCTCAAAGTTTGCCGAGTGACATGTAAATCTTGCCCCAGGATGTGCGCCATTTTGCTTGGGAGCAAAGAGTTGGCCGCAAAAAAAAAAATAAAAAATAAATAAAAAAAAGGAAAACTCAGTCGAAAGGCATATAAAAAACACTCTTTAAATGTGTGCAAAGTGTAAAGGACAGCGCGGGGACGAGCACAGGGGCGATGTTTGCGGTGGCGACGATACATTGTCTGGACGCTGTGGCGGCGACGGCCTGTTTTTCTGTGCAACTAAATATAAGAAATATCCCCATACAAATTCCCTCAGTTTTTGTATATCCTGGCAAAGGGTATGCAAGAAACATACTTAGTTACGATAATGACAAATTCTGTGCATACAAAATTTTGTACAAGGGAAATTTTATAGATATAAAAATTGTAGCTATCGACCGGATTAAAATATCATAGAGCTGCCTTGGGAATAATTAGTTTAGAACTGAATTCCTCACACATGTTTTTTTTTATTTTACATCACATATAGTTATAGGAAAAATCGGTGTTTGTTCCCATCAACACTCAATTAGCGTGTTTTAATACGCTTCGTAAGTTTATCGAAAAAGCGTATCAACATCATATAGCTTCCTAGGAACGATCCATTAATAGTTGAGCTCTTGAATTATTTTGGATTTTAAAAATATATTGTAGATGACAGAATTTATTTTTTTTTTTAAATGTAAGCAAACTTTTCTTTAGAGAGGATCAAGATAATACACAAGGGTATTTAACTGTCGTCTTTCCAAAAAAAAAAACAACACATTTTTTTTCTGGCCTGTTTTTCGATTTTTTGTGGAACTTGATACGGTACGTTGGCAGAGCCTAAAAGTATGCAGCATGTAATTTGCGTTTTGTTTGCCGTAGC